TATTTTTATATTATTTTTATATTTTTTTTCAATTAGAGGAAATAATTTATTTTTATTTTCAGAACTATAAGTATATACATATTCCAATTTCGATTGAGATATTCCCTTGAGGAAAGAATCTAAATTTATTTCGTAACACGCAAAAATATAATTATATATATATATAAAGTCGAAGTACCATTAAACTTGTGCTCAGCACAAATTATTCATATATTTATATTTTATATATACGACTCGAGACAACATTCAGCTTGTAATAATTTTCCACATGATATGTTGAAAAAAGAAAAGTCTAACGATTATATTGCCTATGGGAAAAATTTAAGAAATTTTATAAATATAGATTGAGAAAGAAAAAATAGTTGAGATAATAATAATAATAATAATTTAATACTAAAATTTATTTATAAAAATCTTAGATGAAATTGAATAATAATTGACTTTTTTCTTTCTAATTAAAATTTATTTTTATTAAAAAATGTTTATTAATTTATTTAATTTGAAACAAGAAATCAAAAAAGAGTAAAATATCTTAATTTATAAAAAATGCGATTTTTAAAAACTATTTTCTATTGTAACCAAAATAAAATTTTTTTTGCTAGAAAAAAAGTCAGTAAATTATAAAATATTGAATAGAATTTTCTTTTTCCATATTATATAAATACAAAAATAAAAAATTATTACAAGTTTTATATCGGTGAAAAAAAAAATATACACTAGCTTATAAATTTTTCATAAGCTTTCAACAAATACAGAAATAACTTTCGTGTGATAGGGCTTTTTTTTTTTTATATAAATCCCTTGAAATCTCGAGATTTTTGTTTTTTCCCTTTATTGCAAACTGATCCGTAAAATGAAATTATATTTAAAAATAGATCAGAGGAAGAAAAAAAAATATTTATACTTTCTTGAAAAAGATTTCCGCATTTATAAGATAACAAAAAACCTTTATATAACATATTTTGTGAATTTTTTTATATTTTAATTAAATTTTCTGTTTTACTTTTTTTAATTCTAAATTTAGTATAATTGAAACGTAGGCACATTCAGGAGTGTGGTTCGGATTGAAAACTATTATTTATGTTTGATTTTTAAAAAGGGAGAGATACTTTCGTGTTAAATTTTTTTTTTTATTTGACGTTGTTTATAGAAAAACGATTATATATTGTACGATTATGGACGGAGCAACAACAAACATTCATATTAAAAGCGTGTCTCGTAAATGCCATAATTTTCGATTATAATAATGCTCGCTTCACATGAAACAAAATAGATATATATATGATTTGAAAATTGAAGGAAAAATTGTGTTAAAAATAATTTGAAATAATGCAAATTTATTATCGGATGTAATATTTTCTTTTATGATTCAATTTCATTAAGTGTTTTTCTTATTTTAATTTTCTATTGTTTGTTTATATATCTTCATTAAAAAAAAAACTCAATTATAGATATAAAAATGAAATTAAAATTTTTTTTAATAAAAAAATTTCCATTTAAAATTCTACTCTAGTCTAATTTGTATTCAACTAAATTTACACTTTTTTTGTGATTCCAGAGATAAATTTTTTTTTTTCACAAAATTCTTTTGAAAAATATTTTTAAAACCTTAATTTTTGACTTCTTTCAATTTTATTTTTTTGAAGTTACGTATTATATTTCTTTTTGCTGTTATTTCGTATTTGGTGTAAATTGATTCTTTTGTTGAAATATAATTGTGCTTGTTATATAAATGGAATTTATCGGAAAGCCAAAATTGAGTTCGTGATTCGTAAAATACTTTTTCGTCGAATTAGATTTATGAAACGTATATATATATAGATTATATTCAATACAATAGAACCCTCTTGAAATACATACTTATATAAATTTTGAATTGGAGCTTTAATTTTAACTTGTTTCTAATTATTAATTTTATTAAAAGGGCGCATATTGAGATTAAAAAGCGTCCTCTTGAAAACCCTTTCATTTTAAATGTCCTCTCTTTCTCTCTCTCTCTCTCTCTTTATATTTGAAGAATCTTGTAAAGCAATATTTCAAAATTAAATGTCGAAATGAATAAAATTGTACAGGGGATTTTTTTTTTTTTTTGAATTCTCAAGCAGATAAATATTTTCAAGAAACAAATCCAATGGGAAAAAAAAATTCATTACACTACAGAGAGAGAGGGAGAGAGTCGTTGCACTTGACAGATTTCTTTGCAATTAGTGATTCATTTCTTATGCGAGAGAGTAATAGAGAAAAATGATTTTTTTATGTATTATATCTTTTGAAGTGAGCAAGCTCCTTTGAAACTATATATATTAAAGTGATTTTTTTTTCCCTCGAAAACATTAGAAATGAGGGATATAATAGGAAAATCTTATGCATTCGACTTGTTCATTATTTTCCTCTCTCTTTGAATTTCATTTTCGTCTCTGATGTTGAAAGTTGTAAAGCTTCATTTTACGCGACAATACTTACGAATGAGAAATATATAACTTTTTAGTTGAAGTCGTAGACTCGTGAAAGAATCTTTTATATGTACAAGAATTTATTCTCCGGATAATTTTAAACTTTTTCTCAACTCCAAGTTGTAATATATAGAAAAAAAAAAAAAAAGTTTTACCTCCCTTTGAATTTCGATTTTATAGGTGTAAGGAAATTTTTTTTTCAATATTATGTACGATAAGATTCATAAAGTTTTATGAAATAATTTGCTGTGTGTTTCAAAAAAAAAAAAATTGAAATTATTAAAGTTTATAATTATTATATTCAGTGACGAAATGCTACAATTTTTTTACGTAATTTTTTTAATTGAATAAAATATTGAAAATTTAATTTTTAAAAAATTTTTTATTAATTTTTAAACGAATTTTTAGCTTCATAAATAATTTGTTTTTAATTTTTTTTTGTACAATTAAAATAATTTATTATAAAAATTACTATAAATTATTAATTATTATTAATTAAATTATAAAGTCCTTATAATTATATTTTTTTAAATTATAAAGATTATGTTTTTTAAATTTATTTAATTTATTCTTTTTTTTAAATTATCTTCTTTAAAATATTAAGTAAAAAATAAATATTATTTTTTAAAATTGATTTTCGATATTATTCAATTAAATTTATATACTGTAAATGAATTGTATAAAGTCTTTTTCTTTTTTTTTTTTGAGTTAAAAAAGGAAATCTAACAAGTTTCTTATATTCATTAGAACATTTTGTGCTTCAAGCACGTATAGAGGAGAAAAATCTTTTTCTTTATTATATCCCGGAGACAATCACTTTAAGAAAAGGTTTTCAAGTTGGAATCAGTCCAGAGAAGAACCTAACGTGATGAAACATTTTGTTGGCACTATTGATCAAGGGTTTCTCTACTTTCAACATCTATAGAATTCCGTGTATGACCCGGGAAAATCATTTAACTTAAAATCTCTTTTTTCTTCTTTTCTCTTTTTTTTTCGTTGAACATACTTGAAATCTAATTTATTTAAAATTTCAATTGTATTCAATCAAAACCAAACTTTTAGAGATTGAATTTATTTAACTTTTTTATTCGACTTGAATTGATTTGAAATCGAGTTTATAGTTAAAATTGAATTTATTTAAAAAATTAAATTGAATTTATTTGAAATTGATTTAAAATTTAATTTAGATTAAAAATTCTATTTAAAAATAGCGATTAAAATCATTGAATTGAAGAAAAATGAAAATTATTAAATTAAATTTTAATATGTTAAATTTTTAAAAAATTATTTTTATATGAAATAAAAAATAACTAAAAAACTAAAAATTTAATTTTTAATAATTTTAAAGTTAATGGGAATTATCGTTTTTGTATTTTTTAATAGAAACGTGAAGCGATCTTTAATAAAGGAAAATAATGAGTGCTTAGTAGCATGTGGTGAGGCTCATAAACATAATGACACCGCAGAATATTGCTACATGGGAACTTTTGTTAAAGTTTATTAACAATTTTGCATCAGGATTAAAGTTTTGAATCTAAAATGTCTTCTTAGATAATTTAATAGTCGATTTAAATTTGTAAATAGAATTACGGTAAAAGCTGATTATGAAAATTTAGGGTTTCGATAGAAAATTTTACGCATAAATTTACATATAGACATAATTTACCTATAATTAATTTTCAATTTAAATAATTTCTTTCTTTGAAATTAAAAAGAAAACTAAATTTAAATTAGTTTTTTATTCAATTAATATAATAATTAATCATTTTTTTGCCATTTTTATAAAAAGTGTTTTTCGGTAAAGAAAATGCGTTATACTAAATTATTACCAGACTTTTTCAGACTTTTTTTTAAAAATGTTCACCTCCTACGTATATTATAGGTCTTTGGTATTTTTATTATCTCTGGAATCTTTTTTATTATCATCTTTATATAGAATTTTCTTCACTTTCTTATTTTTCTTTTTTTTTGTGAATTATCGTCGATATTTCTGGTATTTTTAGATTTTTTTTTTCATTTACAAAAATGAAATGAGGAATTTAAATTTACTTATATAGAATTTTTGAAAATTTGAATATATTAATTATCTGAAAATATTTTATTTAGAACATTTTTTTTTAATTTTTCAAGTATTTAGAAGAAAGTTAACTTAAAAAATACATAACTATAGTAAATTATTGACAAAAAAAAAAAAATATCGAGTCAATGATAAATATTACTTAAGTCAAGGATATAAAGCACCCTAACCCAACCATGTTTTATACTTTGCAATATAGATGAAATCTCATTCTATTTCATTTTTCATCGTAAATTCGTAAAATATGGCTGTGTTAGGTACTAAACATCTCTGATTTAAGCCTTTGGTTCGGGTCATAAATTTTTACTCTATAGTTCAGTCACTTTTTTTTTTTGCGCGCACGTCGGTATTACCGCAGTTAAAAAAGAAAATGGAGCTTGATGAAAAGAGATATTATGCTTCATTGGTGAAAAAATGTTTATTTTTCGTTATAATTAAAAAAAAAAAAAAAAAAAATATCTTTAAAAATCTTAAACTAGATCTAAAGGAATTTGTGAAATAAAAAATCTCGAGAATTCATAATATAGGGAAATAAATAAAAATGTTTCTAAAGCTCATAGACATCGCGTCCATTGGGTCTATTTGCAATAGTGGGACGGCAGTAGGAAGCTGGACTAGTTGCATAGGATTGAATAATATGTACTCGCAATTTAACATCACCAGAACGTGATACTTCACCTCTTGTTCTTCGTGAAAAACTCACTGTTGTTTTAAAACAACAATAGTGAAATAATTTTACATAAGCATTACGAAAATGACGATCAACAACGCAATAAAGTAAATTATTAACACATGATTTTGATAGTGCAAACCAAGCGAGATTAATGAAGACACGTGCTTTTACAGGACGGACTGAACTTATCCAAAGCGCCACACCCAATGGCATCCAAAATATTGCGAAGAGAAAAAAACTATAGATATTTGTTTTTGTTAATTCATAATCCCATGAGAATGCTACTGGTGGCTTATATGAACCACGTGTCGCACGACGAACTCTTGTCACTAGCATTAGATAAATTAGAATCGTTATAAGAACTGGAAGGCCTACCAATATACTTGCACCAACAGCCTGTTCCATTGCAATACCATTAAAACGTCTATTACAAAAATCTGGTCCCAAATCAAATGATGATTGAAGACCTATTGCTGTTGCTGCTACTGCCCATACCAATAGAATTGAACTTGTTACACGTCCTGGTGTTAGTATTGCATACCTGTGAAAAGAAAATTTACATCCATTTTAAATTATTATTATCATTTGTATTCCAATTCAGAGTATTGAGAAATTCGGAAAATTAAAACAAGAAAAAGTAAATTACAAAAAAAAATTCACTTCTCGTGATTGAAGGACTTGATTTATAAGTGACAGTCCGTTTTGCAATTAATGACATTTTTTTTTATACAAAAGTAATTTCCCGCGCAGGTTCAAAGAAAGAGATATAAAGAGATAAATTATTTCTGGTTCTTAAAAGTGCGAGTAAATATTTGAAATAGTCGAAAAAAGAATTTCAAAGGAAATTAAATTTTTTTTACTCATGTCCATTGTTTTATATAAAAAGTTGGTTGCACGAACAGTCTGTTAGTATCACTTAGTGCTAATTACACTTTGTATAAAACAGGTCTTAATAACCCCCCATTTACCTTAATTGCTCTTTGATGTTGTATGATGAAGTTAAAAAAAAAATGTACATGTCCCTTTTTGCTTTAAGTATCACGTTCGAACATGTATATTATAATATATTCATATCATATTCTAAAATTGTAAACGACAAATTTTTTCGGTTAATTTTTATTCAATTATTTAATTAGTTGTTTTTTTTTGAATAATTTATTATAGTAATTATTATATTACTGCTTTTGATTTGATATTTGTAATCATAACTGACAACAGATGTCTAAGTCTTTGAGAAATGATTTAGTTATACATGGTGCGAGATGAGTTTGATATGTTTAACGCACGTGCATAACGAATTCAAAGTACAAACTTGAACAATAAATTATATTAGGTGTATACCTCAATATAATGTTGCGTGTACAAGTTACAATTACTTTACGTTACAAGTTTCTTGATATACATTTACATCTGAAAGGATTTACATCTACAACTCTATAAAGCCGCGTGTTGATGAAGTTTACATTTCCCTATACTGAATATATATATGTATAGTTCTTGGTAACAATGTGATTAATTCGTGGTAAGCAGAATTTCTAGACGAAACGATCTCATGGGAAAATTGAGGTTGAATTTCAATAGTTATATATATTAATGAAATTCAATTCATTGAATTTTGGAAAATTACTATTCAGTCAGAGAAAAATTTATTTCTTCTTTAAGATTTAGTTGATTAGTTATTGTGTTAATCTTTTTATAAGCAATGGAATCTCTGTTGAAAGTTGTGAAGATGTTAAATTGTTCATAAGATGAAATTATGTACTTCTGTAGAAATTCGATTTTTACGTTTGAATTTTTTATCTTCATTTTTGAATCTACTTTGTTCGTATTTATATTATTATTATAAATAGTACTGTCAATGTTTGCATTACTTTTTATAGAATGTCTTCATCTAAAAATAAAGATCATCGACCCTTTCTTTAGTATAACCTCCAATTAGCGCGACTAATTCCAATTCGAAGTAAAATTGCATCCAATTTAAAGGTTAAGTAATCAACCTTTGTAACGCCACTCAAGATAGGAATTATTTATCTCCGTAAAAAGTGTCTCTGTATAATCCATGGCAATTATTTCTTAGTTAGGGACAATATAATCCACACTTGATTGCTCTTCCGTATATAAAAGCTAGATGGTGATTTACAAATTTAATCACAAGTTAACACGAAATTTAATGCTTATTATAGATATATTATTTTTTCTTCAATATTTATAAAAATGCCATTTTACTTTTGTCAAGGACTGCAAACTAAATTAAACGTAGAATAACTTAGAAAAAGTCAGTAAAATTTAAAAACCTTTTTTTTTGCGAAACTAGATCACGGAATTCGCGAAAATAAGTCACGAATTCTGCGAAAATAAGTGTCGGATTGCGCGAAATTAGATCACAGATTCTGCGTAATTAGGATTACGAATTCCGCGAAACTAGGTCACTCATTTTGCGTAAATATATCACGGATTTCGCGTAATTAGATAACGGAATCCGTGAAATTAGGTTTCAGTTTTGGTGAAACTAGTTCGCGGATTTCACATAAATAGATCACGGATTCTGCGAAATTAGATCAGTTTTTGCAAAATTAGGTCACGGTTTTGGCCAAACTAAATCGCGGATTTCGCGTAATTATATCACGGATTTCGCGAAATTAGTTCAAGGATTCCACGAAATTAGGTTTCAGTTTTGGCAAAACTAAATCGCGAATTTCGCGTAATTATTTCTTGGATTTTGCGAAATTAGATTACAGATTCCGCGTACTTAAGATCACGAATTCCGCGAAACTAAGTCACTTATTTCGCGTAAATATATCACGGATTTCGCTTAATTAGATTACGAATTCCGCGAAATTAAGTCACAGATTCCGCGAAACTAGGTCGCTCATGTCGCAAAAATATATCACGGATTTCGCGTAATTAAATTACGGAATCCGGGAAATTAAGTTGCATTTTTGGCAAAACTAGTTCGCGGATTTCGCGGAAATATATCAAGAATTTCGTGAAATTACTTCAAGGATTCCGCGAAATTTAGTTTCAGTTTTGGTGAAACTAGTTCGCGGAAATATATCACGGATTTCGCGAAATTAGATCACAGATTCCGCGTACTTAAGATTACGAATTCCGCGAAACTAGGTCGCTCATTTCGCGTAAATATATCACGGATTTCGCGTAATCAGATTACGGAATGCGCGAAATTAGGTTGCACTTTTGGCAAAACTAGTTCGCGGATTTCGTGAAATTACTTCAAGGATTCCGCGAAATTTAGTTTCAGTTTTGGTGAAACTAGTTCGCGGATTTCGCGGAAATATATCACGGATTTCGCGAAATTAGATCACAGATTCCGCGTACTTAAGATTACGAATTCCGCGAAATTAGGTAACAGATTCCGCGAAACTAAATCGCTCATTATGCGTAAATATATCACGGATTTCGCGTAATTAGATTACGGAATCCGCGAAATTAGGTTGCACTTTTGGCGAAACTAATTCGCGGATTTCGCGGAAATATATAACGGATTTCGTGAAATTAGTTCAAGGATTCCGCGAAGTTAGGTTTCAGTTTTGGTGAAACTAGTTCGCGGATTTGGCATAAATAGATCACGGATTCTGCGAAATTGAATCAGTTTTTCGCGAAATTAGGTCACGGTTTTGGCGAAACTAAATCGCGTATTTCGCGTATGTAATTAGATCGCAGTTTTCGCGAAACTAGATTGTGGATTTCGCGAAATTAGATTGCAGATTCCGCGAAACAAGATCGCGGATTGCGCATAATTAGATTATGGATTCCGCGAAATCTGAATAAAAAATGGTAACACATATTTATATAATAGAAATCAGAAATATGAATCTAGTTAATAAGTGATATTGGATGTTAGGAATTTGATCTTTGGAATTTGTAATCAAGAATTTATTGGTTGTATGTAGATGATAGAGAACAATACAAAATTCTTGGCGTTCATGTCTCATTCGCAGTGTGACAGAATTAGTGTATAGGATAATATAAATCCGGTACGTCTAGATTCTAAATGCCTCATCTCGGAAGTTGGATTTCTAGTCGACGTGGCATATTATCATATTTCCAATCGATATAGAAATAGACTAGTATATTCAAGGACAATATTTTCGTTTTTTTAAAAATAAATATTATTTATATTAAAATATCTATTTAAAAAATGTGAAATTCAAGAAAATAGAATAAATTCCATTTTTTGGATTATAATTTTTTATAGATTCTATTGTCTCTTTTCTGAAGTTAACTCGGAGCTTTTATAGGAAATAATTGTGATGAACTCACCTTTCAACTGGAAGGTAGAGACGCATGTAATTTTCGACAGCTATGGCTGCCAATGTCAATACAGTTACTAAAAAGCATAACGCTTCTAAAGTCCATTCGAAGCGACAAATTCCCAAGGATTCTTTATGTCCTGCTAGGATGACAATTGCAGACGCTGGTAAAACGAGACCTGTCACCATCAGATCCGCTAAGGCGACATTCACCAGAAATGCATTTCCTGCAAAAATTACATATATTTCTCACTTATCTCTCTCTCTCACTCACTCTCTTTTTCCCTTTTGTATCTCGCATTTTCTTTTTCTGACTTTTGTGTAATAATACATTTTCATTTCAAATCTTCGCACAAGAGAAAAATCCAAATATACATGCTTTTAACATTTGAAATAATTTTTTTTTCATTTATTTCGAAATGGAAACATTTTACTAAATAAATATTTCACTTCAAAAATATATTTTTTCTCAGGTAAATAGGTTTTCATAAATATGTTTAAAGATTTTATTACAATTTTTAGTTAAGGTTTTCATTGTGTACTTTTTTGTTGTTTATTATATATTTCTATATAATGAGAAATGAAATAACTTTTCGAATCATGAAACTTGATCCATAAAAAGTACTTTGGCAAACATGTGAACATTTTAAACTCATATATATATAAAAGAAAAAAAAAATATATATATACCCTTCAATTTGCATATCAACTTTATCACCGCCTATCACCTTTAACATAGTAATCACGATATTAAATTTGACCTTGGTAATCATTCAAAATTGACCTTCACTGCGATTCGTTAGCGATGTAAACACTATAATTTTCATTGTATAATTGAATAAAGAAATGATTCTGGGAAAAAAATTCTTGATAATGTGCATTATAATATACAACGGAAGATCGCGGATACACCGGATGCCTCATAACGTTTCTTCTATATACATATATTATTCTTTTGAAAATACCTGCGGTACATATATACAAAATCATTTTTTAATGAACAATCAAAATTCATCTGACAATATATTGATGCACCATTGAAATTAATATAATTACGAGCAATTAAAATTTAATAAATTAATATGCAGGTTGCTGTCGAATTATAAACGAGATGAGAGTATAATTAAAGTGATTTAGCAATTACTTTAAATTTTTTAATAATACACTGCTCAAAAGCAGAGTATCAAAGTTAATATATTTAATTTTTCATGTTTCGCAAAAATGAATATTAGGAAAGAAATTTTACTTCATTAACTCTAATTGGGTCTATTAAAATGTTTTTTTTCCTTTTGGTAAATATAAAATCATTAGCAATCGTTTGTAAGGGAAAAAATTCTTAGGAACCGTTGCTAAGGAAAAAAAGTCCTTAACAACGGTGTCTAAGAAAAAAAGGTTGTGGTAACGGTTGCTATGGTAACTGTTGCCATAGGAACGTACCACAGTAACTGGTACCATACTACCTGTTACCATAGTAACTGGTACCATACTACCTAACTGTTACCATAGTAACTGGTACAATAGTAATTAGTACCATAGTAACTGGTACCATAGTAATTGACTGGTACCAAAGTTAGTGGTACCATAGTAACTAGTACCATAGTAACTGGTACCATAGTAACTGGTACCATAGTAACTGGTACCATAGTAACTGGTACCATAGTAACTGGTACCATAGTAACTGGTACCATAGTAACTGGTACCATAGTAACTGGTACCATAGTAATTGACTGGTACCAAAGTTAGTGGTACCATAGTAACTAGTACCATAGTAACTGGTACCATAGTAATTGACTGGTACCAAAGTTAGTGGTACCATAGTAACTAGTACCATAGTAACTGGTACCATAGTAACTGGTACCATAGTAATTGACTGGTACCAAAGTTAGTGGTACCATAGTAACTTGTACCATAGTAACTGGTACCATAGTAATTGACTGGTACCATAGTAACTGGTACCATTGTAACTGGTACCATAGTAATTGACTGGTACAATAGTAATTAGTACCATAGTAACTTGTACCATAGTAATTGACTGGTACCAAAGTTAGTGGTACCATAGTAACTAGTACCATAGTAACTGGTACCATAGTAACTGGTACCATAGTAACTGGTACCATAGTAATTGACTGGTACCAAAGTTAGTGGTACCATAGTAACTTGTACCATAGTAACTGGTACCATAGTAATTGACTGGTACCATAGTAACTGGTACCATTGTAACTGGTACCATAGTAATTGACTGGTACAATAGTAATTAGTACCATAGTAACTTGTACCATAGTAATTGACTGGTACCAAAGTTAGTGGTACCATAGTAATTGACTGGTACCATAGTAACTGGTACCATAGTAACTATTGCTATTGAAGCGGTTGTCATAGTAACGGTTGCTATGGTAAAGGTTATTATGATAACGGTTGCCATGGAAATGGTTGTTATAAATCCCTTAAAAGGACTGTTTCATTTCTCAGGATTGAAAAGAGTCTCTTTACACCCTAGAGTTGAAAAAAAATTAATTTAAAATTACAAAAATTTTTTTTGAAGAGAATGGTGACAGTAATATAAAATTTTATTTTATTAATTTATTTTCTATTACATTTTTTTTTTTTTACAAGTTCTCGGAAATAATTTATTATTTGATCGCTCAATAATTTTTGAAGAAGCACTTGTGCCTGGTAAAGTGAGAACAATTACGATACAAGATGAAAAGGATCTCTATCCTGGTTTTGTGTGTACGTGTATATATGTAAATGTAAATGTATTAGTAATGGAAAGCCCGACACCTTATCTTCTTTTACGAGAGAAGGGCAACTCAATATATATATATATATCGTCAACCCTCTCCGTCTCTAGAGCAAAATTTCCATAAAACCGGATTTCTGGGGAAACTCATCCGGATATTACGTGACTAAGAAATGTCCTATCGTTGTTTTTATCAAATCAAAAAATTCCTGTTTCAACCCTTGAGAGACAAAAGAACATTGTTTTATTCTATTAACGAAAAATTTTACAATATATATATAGCAATAGTCTTCTTTAGGAAAAATAAATTAGAAAAAAAATTGTTTTGAATTGTTTGGGATTTTTCGATTAGATTTTAATAAAAATTGTAAAGCTGTGTATTTATATAAGGAAGTTCAATAAATAGTAAATAGTAAAAGAAAATAAATTTTACAAATCCTAGAAATTGTTTTATTTATGTGAACAGTTGCATATACTTGAGAAGCGAGACATTTAAAGACCTTTTGCTATATAAAGTTTACAGTAATAATAATAATAATTCAAAGATTCTGCGTAAACACTCGTGAGATTGTATTTCAGATGTTCAATGTTTACCTCTTTTATTAGCTATTTTGTAATTTCCGTTAGTTTTCAGAAACAAATATAAAGCTATATATAATATTATACGCGAGAATTTTATTAAGTTTACGATATTATATATTTTCTTTTACTATATTCCTATATTTATTCTTAGTTTCTTACCCTTGTAAGATATATAGTTTTTTCTTGTCAATAGTAATAGAAACGCTTTTTCGTAATAGGAAATTTTCTTCTGTTTGAATTTTTTTATTATTTCAAATCTAAGAGTGTACTTTTGAAATATTAATTAGATTTGCATATTACGTTCTTCTATGTATGGAAAATTTTGTTGTGTTACTGACCTATTTTTCTTAAATGATCTTCGACCATAACGGCCGATATCATAAAAACATTTCCAACACTTCCAACCACAGCTAGTGATGCTAGTAGTAATAGACGAGCAACTCGGGACCAGTCTTCTGATAAGGTCACAGGTGATACATCAGGATCGTTGTCGAAGAGACTTCTTGTCTTGTCCAATGACATTCCTGAATTAACTTTAATCATTTCTTGTAAACTGCTTGTCACGTCAAATATTGACGACACTGTCGTTGAACGATTCATTATGAATTCTGAAAATTGAAAAAATATTTCTTTTCAAAAAATTACGTCAATTTTAAAATTTCAAAAATTATTTTTAAAAAATTCATTCAGCTTTTTTTGCCAGTGAATATGAAACAAGGAAATTAATTTTATAGCTTAATTTGAAATTGCAGTTGAATTTTTTTTTTCGTATTATGTAAAAAAGAGTTTTGTGGTTTTTGTTTTGTACTCAACTGTTTCTTTTTGAAAGTGTCTTTATAAAGAAGACACGAAAACAAACTCGGTTGTTTAATCTGACATTATTTTAACATCATGTTATTTTAAGCGTAGAATGCAAAATATTCTTTGAGAAAGTGCATTTTCCAAAACAATAAGCATATGCTTAGTCGAGTACAAATTTCCAGTCAATTAAACATATGTCAATTAGGATTTTTTAAAAAAGTTTCCTTGTATATTTTTAACAAAATATAAACAAGTGTTTAACAAAAATTGCACTTGTTGCATGAAATTTATAGCTAGAAAGAGAGGGAGAGAGAGAGATTGCCTTTATATATAGGAAACTAATATCGATTTTCAGTCATCAATTTGAAAATATGCCAAACCACTCCATTCACTGTCTCGTCGTCGACTTGAAAACGTGCCATATAGAGCCATTCAACCGGGATCACGTTGAACCTCTTTCTCTCTCTCTTTCTCTCTCTTCTCATCTCTTTTTCCTTTGAAACTCAAGACAAGTATAAAGACGAGAGACGAGGGCGCGCGAAAAACTGTTACCCACTTTCAACAAAGTAATCGCCGGCGATAGAGTCATAAAAGTAGAAAAATATTTTGTTAGATGGAGCTTTTTTTTGTTAAACACAAAATTGTCCATTGAAAATATTCTCTCTTTTATATATTAACTTTTGTTGTAATATTTTTTGCTTTTATTTATTGTACAAGTTTCTCGATTGACAATTATTATAAAAAGAATGAGACAAAGGACTCTTTTATCTATAACCGTAAATGAAAATAATACAAAGTTTTTGTTGTATAGTTTGGAAAAAATATTAAAATACAATAGGGATCACAATTGGTTTCTTCTTTTTAGGGAAAAAACTTATCAATGCCTTTTCAGTTTTCAGTCACGGAAAAAAAAGGAATTGCTTTCAAATGCTAACTGATGTTTGCTATCAGTTCTATCAAAATTAGTAATCAAAGCTAAATTTTTTTCTATGACAACGAAAAAGTTTGCTATGATAATCAATATGTCTTAATTTTTAAAAATTTACTGTAACAGCAAACTTCTTTTACCCAACAGCAAATTTGTTCGCTGTCCCTAAATTAGCTAACGTTATTTGATGTGATAGCAAATAATTCGCTGCCACAGCAAATTTTTTCTGTGCGTATTTAAATTGCCCTATTTTGTGAAATTACTGTTATTGTTGTTATTATTATTTTTATTGCTGTTATTATTATTATTATATTATTATTATTATTATTATTATTATAACACTAGAAAATAATTTTGAAAAATCTCGCACCCATGGGGGATTGAACCCAGGACCCTTGGGACGCGAGTCGTGTACCCTGACCACACAGCTACGTTAAATTACAGATATTTTCCCTAATACTTTTTTTTAAATAGTAAGACTACTACCTGATAAGTGCCTAGTTTGTTTAAATTTTTAACTAGTACAGTGTATTATTAATATATTAATATAAAAATTTCTTACAAAAGAAAAAATTATTATTTTTAATATTTTTTATTATTAGTTTTTGTTATTATTACAAGTAATTTTATTAGTCTCTACTGTTTTGTACTTTTTTTTTGTATATTTGTATTATATTTTTTAAAATATTTTTTAATTGCATTTGTATTTTAATTTTAATTAAAAAAAAAATTATTTAACTTTTAGAGAAGAATTCAACTTTTTTTTTGCACTATTTGATAAAGTGAATTAGTGATTGTGTGTGAAGTATATAATATACTACACACCAGGGCTAAAAAGCTGAGTCATTGCTTTTAGGATCTGAATTGCAAATTTTTTCTCATGTCCGCCATTTTACTATATATATATATATATATATATATTAATAATTCACTGTCTAGTGCATTCTGTCAACAAACTTTAAACTTGAGGTGAATACGAAAGAAAGAAAAAAAAATCAAATGTGTATAAGTGCTCCTTATAGAAATTCTCTCCTAGTTGACTTACATCTTTTTTCTCACTTGGAGCTTCTCTCAATAGTGGAGAATAAGGTAACGTAAATCAGTTCCTCTCTCACAGAAACTTGGTGAAAAGCCACATACAGATACGAGGCAAACAATCCGGTTTAAAGATCATTGAACTTTCAAAAGCTTGGAAAAAACATGAGTAAAAGCTTGTTTTTAAAGCATCACCGAATTCAATGATATATCCGCTATTATTATTTTTTTTTCTATTTTACGAATATAAAGCAAAGCTTTCATATTATATTCAAAGAATTCTTTTTGATATTAATGCATTAATTTTTTTTTTACAAAATAGTTTTGGAATCAGAAGGGAATGTTTTCTTTCTTATAAAGAGTTTCACGTACTAAATTATCTCAAAAAGGTTTTTTTTTGTTTATTTTGCTGAACTACTTTATTTTTCTATATTTTCTATTTAACATTAGTTTTTCACATTTGCATTGTATTTGTAATGTATATATAGACAAATGGAAAATTTCTATGGCTTAATTTTACGTGGTTATATATTGTTGGTGAAGAAACTAATTACCATATGTAAATATTTACGGAAGCATATATTGTATATATGTACGGAAGAGAGAAATGTGTTTAAATATATTTCCTCCAGTAGATAAGACAGGACTTAGAACAAACATATATAATACGACTTTTTTTTTAACAAAAATACTTATACTTTTTAGTATAAAAACTATTTATTTCGGGTTGTAAATAAATTGTTTGGAAATAGAAAAAAAATTGTCATTGAATTAGCATTTCGTTGTAATGGAAATTGACAATATTGATACGATATTCTGAAAAACACTTACTATTATATAAGATATTTCATCATTCATTTCTTTATTGAGGCTATATTACTTTTTTTTTCTTGAAAATTGTTCAATACCAAGTGTACTTAATGCAAAATTCAATTTCACGAAATGTTTTCCGAAAATTTTTTAGATTGTTATTTGAGAATAGCTCAGCATCCGCTGGACCAATCAAAAAGTGCGCTATATATTTTTTGTTCAGAACTTTCTTCTAAAGACTTCGGCGGTATTGCCGAACGATTATCTCGAAAATTTAATTTTTCAACCATTTTTCCAAAATGTTTTTTAGTGTAGCTCAGCATCCGCTGGACCAATCTAAAAGTGCGCCATACATTTTTTGTTCGAAACTTTTTCCCTATTTTGTTGGCGGTATTCCGGAACGATTATCTCGCAAATTTTTTTTTTCGAAATTTTTTTCCCAGTTTTAGTGAGTGTAGCTCAGCATCCGCTGGACCAATCAAAAAGTGCGCCATACATTTTTTGTTCGAGACTTTTTGCTTAATTTTTTGGCATTATTCCCAAGTCATTATCTAGTAAATTTTTTTTTTCGAAATTTTTTTCCCAGTTTTAGTGAGTGTAGCTCAGCATCCGCTGTACCAATAAAAAAGTGCGCCATACATTTTTTGTTCGAGACTCCCGGGTTAAGACTTTGGCGGTATTCCCGATCAATTATCTCGCAAATTTAATTTTTCGAAATTTTTAAAAAAATTTATCTGAGTGTAGCTCAGCATCCGCTGGACCAATCAAAAAGTGCGCCAAACATTTTTTGTTCAGAACTTTCTTCTAATCACTATGGCGGTATTCCCGAACAATTATCTAGCAAATTTAATTTTTCGAAATTTTTTCATAAATTTATTTGAGGGTAGCTCAGCATCCGCTGGACCAATCAAAAAGTGCGCCATACATTTTTTGTTCGAGACTCCCGGGTTAAGACTTTGGCGGTATTCCCGATCAATTATCTCGCAAATTTAATTTTTCGAAATTTTTAAAAAAATTTATCTGAGTGTAGCTCAGCATCCGCTGAACCAATCAAAAAGTGCGCCATACATTTTTTGTTCGAGACTCCCGGGTTAAGACTTTGGCGGTATTCCCGATCAATTATCTCGCAAATTTAATTTTTCGAAATTTTTAAAAAAATTTATTTGAGTGTAGCTCAGCATCCGCTGGACCAATCAAAAAGTGCGCCATACATTTTTTGTTCGAAACTTTTTCCCTATTTTATTGGCGGTATTCTGGAACGATTATCTCGAAAATTAAATTTTTCGAAATTTTTTCATAAATTTATTTGAGTGTAGCTCAGCATCCGCTGGACCAATCAAAAAGTGCGCCATACATTTTTTGTTCGACACTTTTTGCTCAATTTTTTGTCATTATTCCCAAGTCATTACCTGGCAAATTTTTTTTTTCGAAAATTTTTTCCCAGTTTTAGTGAGTGTAGCTCAGCATCCGCTGGACCAATCAAAAAGTGCGCCATACATTTTTTGTTCGAGACTCCCGGGTTAAGACTTTGGCGGTATTCCCGACCAATTATCTCGCAAATTTAATTTTTCAAAATTTTTAAAAAAATTTATCTGAGTGTAGCTCAGCATCCGCTGGACCAATCAAAAAGTGCGCCATACATATTTTGTTCGAGACTTTTTGCTCAATTTTTTGGCGGTATTCCCGAACGATTATCTAGAAAATTTAATTTTTCGAAATTTTTTCATAAATGTATTTGAGTGTAGGTCAGCATCCGCTGGACCAATCTAAAAGTGCGCCATACATTTTCTGTTCGAAACTTTTTCCCTATTTTATTGGCGGTATTCCGGAACGATTATCTCGCAAATTTAATTTTTCTAAATTTTTTCCAAATTTGTTTTCTAGTGTAGATCAGCATCCGCTGGACCAATCAAAAAGTGGGCCATACATTTTTTGTTCGCTACTTTTTGCTAAAGACTTTGGCGGTATTCCCGAACGATTATCTCGAAAATTCAATTTTTCGAAATTTTTTCATAAATTTATTTGAGTGTAGCT